GTCACTCAGGATGTTCATCTAGTCAGTGTCTTTAGTTTAAGTTCCACGTTATTTTAATTTTAAAGGTGTTTTCCAGTAGATGACAGTAATCTTTCACTAAACTATGGAAGACATTTTTCATATCACCATGAATGAAACCAAGAAATTTAGATATTCTTTAAAGTCAACTCTACATATCTATTTTGTATAAACATTTATTTCATATAAACATGTAATACTTTTTTTTTTCAAAAATTGAGGCCAAAAAAAGTTTCAACAAAAATACCATACCAACTGTATAGTAAAAACATTAAAGCGAGTGATATTACAATTCATGATTGTTATAAAATCATATTTTACTAAACAGCCACAGTGTACACTCTGAACAGCTCACAATGGTTAAATAAAGATGTGAAATATATGTCTTTATCACTTTCTTCAGATTACACTTGAAGCCAACACTCCACTTCAAGTGGCAGCATATACAATGCTCTTGTGCTGCTGGAAGAAGTTTGTGCAACCATCTGGTTACTTTACCAGACAGCACATTTTAGTACAATTGGAACCAAAAATGTTCCAGCTGCCCTTGCATGCACAAGCAAACAGCAGGCCTGGCATAGGCTCCGAACCCAGGTAAATATAAATAAAGACAGAAACCTCATTCGTCAGTTTTTAACAATTTTAATTTGCCAACCATTAACAAATAAAATTAATTTAAAATGCATAATGTGCAAATCAGAGTGCAATCTAGTGCAAGATATACATGTTTTGTCAGTGCATCACTCCCAAACCAGTCGATGAGCTTGTGGTGCGCAAACCGAAAGCCTCTGGTAGGAGCTCTGTGCAGTCTACTCTGTACACTGCGAACAACTTGTTTTCTCCCAGTCGATAAATTATCTGCCAAAAGTCAGAATAGCAGATGTTGTCCGTTTTGTTGACAATTTGCAGGGAGATGTGAAAAGATCCAAATTGCACAAAGGCTACAAATTCTTTTTTGAGCAATTTATTTTTGATTATCAGGGTATGTATAATGAGCCAGTTGCCATGACACTGCTTTTTTTGAACTGATTACTTTTATGGTTTTATGGATGATTTTCAAAGCGGTTAAATAAAAGTTAACTGTGTTAACTGTGTGTGTGTTTGAACACTTCAGTCTCAAATATTATTGCAGGGAAAGTGGTAATATGTTATAGGGTTATAGGTCGTTAAGAAAGCATGAGGGACCACATCAGCTCGAGGTAACTTAAATACATACAGGATTTAGTTCATGTTGAATAGTACCTTTTTGATGATAAAATGGTTTTCAACGTAGCCTATTAGTTATCTCACAGTCCATAGCAACAGTAACTGAATAATTTAGTAAGGAAGCACCTTCGGCAGTTAGGATTAAAACAAAAGAGAATGGGATTCAACATGCTTTTCTGTGCTTAATGACATTATTTATGTAGTAATGGTCATTTTAACCTCTGAGCAGTGTTCAGGGTATTTCAGGACCTCAAATGACATTTGCTTGAATAAAAAAAAATTAAAAAAGTGTTCCCCTCATCTAAATGACATGACACTTGATGACTTTTTTTACACTTGCTACACACACAAAAAAAAAAAAAAGAAATTGGAATGTCTGATTGTACATTAGTGTAATAAAGTCACTCAGGATGTTCATCTAGTCAGTGTCTTTAGTTTAAGTTCCACGTTATTTTAATTTTAAAGGTGTTTTCCAGTAGATGACAGTAATCTTTCACTAAACTATGGAAGACATTTTTCATATCACCATGAATGAAACCAAGAAATTTAGATATTCTTTAAAGTCAACTCTACATATCTATTTTGTATAAACATTTATTTCATATAAACATGTAATACTTTTTTTTTTCAAAAATTGAGGCCAAAAAAAGTTTCAACAAAAATACCATACCAACTGTATAGTAAAAACATTAAAGCGAGTGATATTACAATTCATGATTGTTATAAAATCATATTTTACTAAACAGCCACAGTGTACACTCTGAACAGCTCACAATGGTTAAATAAAGATGTGAAATATATGTCTTTATCACTTTCTTCAGATTACACTTGAAGCCAACACTCCACTTCAAGTGGCAGCATATACAATGCTCTTGTGCTGCTGGAAGAAGTTTGTGCAACCATAACGTCCCCTTCCCCAGCCCTCTTCGTGGACGACTGCTTCGACACACCTGTGTCAGAGCTGGATCTCCCTGACACTGAGGGCCCTGCGGACCTACATGGGGAGCTCGTCAGGGTCTTTGCCAAGGTGGTAAAGGATCTCGACCTGAGCTGGGAGGCTCTGGATGAACCTGCCAGGAGTAAGCTCGACTCCTGGTATTTCCATTCAGGCCACCGCCAAGCTGCATCAAGTAGGAAGATGCCGTTCTTCTCAGACGTGCATGAGCACGTGGTGGAGTCGTGGTTTGCACCCCAATCGGTGTGTCGATGCTCCTACGCAGCCTCTGTTCTCACACGTGGATGGGGCAGAAGCCCTACGGGTATGTGCACATGCCCCCCTTTTTAAGAGACCATCGCCACACACTTCTACGGCCATGCTGGGAGTGGATCTCAGTCTGCCATTCAAGCCCTGCAGACTAAGGCCCAATACCAATTCTATTTTATACCCCTTCCCCTACCCCTCCGCCTACCCCTTCCAAAGTGTCAAGGGGTAGGGTCGAAAATATTCCTCTAAGAATTGGGACACCACTACTATTTCACACATCATCATACGGCGTCTAGCTCCTACAATACGCACACCTATACTGGTGTGCTGGTGTGCATTAGAGCCTTTAATTACCGTTCTATATTAATGCGCTGACCGTAAATATGAACTCACGATTGAATGTAACATAAAACAGATTATTACTTTTTATTAAAATCTTTATTAATGCCAGAAATGCTTACATTTATGTGTCTTTTTGTTCGCTCGGGCAGCCATGTTGCCGCTGAAGCCGGTTTACGCTGAGATAATTCATACCCCTTTGTTTGCAGTGTGGTCCCGAAAAATCTTCGTTTGAAGGGCTATCTGTCCCTTCCCCTTACCCCTACCCCTCCAACCAAAAGCGAATCGAGACACCCCTACCCCTTCACGTGAACGCGGGGAAACGGGAAAGGGGAAAGGGGAAGGGCTAAGGGGTGGAATTGGGATTGGACCTAACTGTCCACCTGGCTGATAAGGCCTACTGACAAGCTACACAAAATCGCGTTCAAAATCGCAGGCGATTCATTGCCGATTTTGAACGCAATTTTGTGTAGCTTGTCAGTGAACTACAGCTCTGTTTAGTAAATGCCGCTCCATCTGAAAGCACGTGCTGGAGATTTACTACTAATCACCAGAAGCGGCTTTACTGACGAGATGCGCATGAAAATCGCATTCGATTTTTTGCACAGCCCTAATTAAATGATATTTAATTAATAATAAAAAAATAGAATGATACTTTTAAAAAATGAGACTAAAATTAGGTACTAAAATTAAGTAGGTGGCAGCAAGCCACTGTCTTAATGACTGAGTCGTTGAATCATTTATTAAATCGATTTGTTCAAAACGGCTGATTCATTCAGGAAGAAACTGTTTTTTTTTTAATGAATGGGTAAGTGAATCACTGCTGCATTCTAAAAACGCGAAATCCATTCAGTAAGGAAACACTGCTGTGTGCAGAGATGCACAACATGGCTTTGTTTAGAACCATTTTCGCAAAATAAAGCAAAAAGACAATATTTTCTCTACAAATGAAATCACTTAAAGGGGTCATATGACGCTTTTTTAAAGATCATTATTTTGTGTATTTGGTGTAACAGAATATGTTGACATGCTTTAATGTTCAAAAAACACATTATTTTTCAAATACTGTACATTATCTATGCACAATCAGCTTGTAACACTCCAAAGAGAAAGGAAAACTTGAAATCGCATCATATGACCCCTTTAATATTATCTTCTTGTTTATTAAATTTTGTCGCCCTGACACTTAGTAAAGTCCCCAGATAGCATGTAGTAATCGGCCCGAGCTCGGCTGCCCGAGCTCTGCCAATCTAATCGGAACTGGCCCGAGTGTATTTTGCTCACTGGGTCTGCCACAAACTATGCTAAATGCTATCCAGTCTGTTTATATGATGGGTCTAAATGCGTGTGGTGTGTGTCCTAGAAAGTCTGCGCATATAATACCATGATTAAAAATCTATAGGCTATATGTTGCTATACAGTAACAATAATCTAATTTTAGCAGATGGTGAGATCGGTATTATGAATTTATAGGCTACATTAGATGCCTGAAGCAGCTGGATTTTGCTGTTTAAGTGCTGGTTTAATAGAATTGATTTTAATGCGCTTGAAAACTCAATCCTGATGCGCACAAGTTATGGTAATACAAACATTCGGGGCTTCAGCCCCTTTAGCCCACCCCTAGCGCCGCCCCTGATAACTAGCCTAAGGTTTTTAATGGGATGGTGGACAGTGTGAGTAAAATAATAATCGACAAAGAGTATGTGATATGAAAGAACTGCATTATTTAAATGTGCTTTAAAGCCTTGCCGGTTAAACATTTCATTCGCGTGCTGTTCTAACATGCGCTTTTTCTGATGGTGCACACCTGAAGTGCACACACTGAACGCAAAAGAAGATATTTTGGGTAACCAAATAGTTTCTGGTCCACACTGACTTTGATAGTAGGAAAAAAATGATATGTAGGTCAATGGGGACCAGCAACTGTTTGCTTATACCTACATTCTTCATAATAACTTTTATGTTTAACAGAAGAAAGAAACGCATTCAGGTTTAAAACAACTTGAGAGTGAGTAAATGATGACAGAATTTTAATTTTTGCTGAATTTTTCAGCAGTTTTGACTTGAATGAAGAGAGAAGACCTGCGCTTTTCACAAGCATTTTTGTTTGATAAGTTGATGCGTTGATGAGACGCAGTGCATGGCTCTGCCGCTGGGGGCCGCTGCTGCAGTCACACGGTCACACGTGTCACTGAACCAGGAAGTGTTTAGGTGTGACGCGTCACATGCGCCGCTTATTATCAGATCATATCACAATCATGCAGCAGACACACAGCTACACTTATAATTCAGTGCAATCTGCATGTGTGTGTTATCCCTAGAGATGCTGAGCCATGCGTATGATTGTGGAGATGTGCGCTCTGCACCTGAAGTCTTCACTCGAGTGAGTTTTGCAATCTTTATCCTTTCATCTGTATTTAGGACTGAAATTGTCAGTACGTTAGTTGATGCATGTAAAAAGAGCATTAACGGAATATAACATGAGTTTTTGAGCGAACAGTTAGATACTTGGTTAATTATGTTTCTGAAAGCATGTTTCTGATCTGAGTATTACTTTTCAAAGTGAGAGATGTTAAGGGATGCATTAAAATACAAGGAATCTGTCATTGTTGTAACTCAAAATGTGTGTCATTATTAATCATTTGAGTTAGATATAATATAATTGCCCTTATATGCAAGTTGAATTCTGAAGTTATAATAACTCACTCTCTTTAAGGTGAATTCTGAAGGTATGATAACTCACTTTAACATGACACTCACTTTCTTGGCTTTCAGGACTTGGAGAAATGTTTTGGAGTTATGAGTGAATGATGGGTCAAAATGCAAGCTACACTGAATACGGGTCATGGAAAATCTAGAAAACTCGACAGATTGCAAGGAGACTGTGTCTCCACTAAACAATTCAGGGTCTTTACTGAACCGCACCGTCTCCCGTAGTGATGGCGAAGCTATGGGGTTTGTGCTGGTGCATGCAGGTGAAATTTTGTCCTGTAGTAAATGATGAAAAAACACTTTACCATAATCCAAATGTTTTGGAACAGATTTAGTTGTTACATGTTGAATGAGTAATGGTCTGAAAGCAGTCGTCAGTAGAATGACGTGTTTGTGGGCGGGGTCAAGTTCACGGCTGGCCAACATGTAGAACATAGGTGCGCATTATGCAAATGTGTTACCCCGTGACGTGTAGCCATCACGGAAGTGGGATTCGAATTACTAACGACTTGTTTCAGCTGTTCAGAGTCGATTCTTTATTTTGGGAGACAATAACTTTATTTATCGTGCACTTTCAGCTTTACAACTTTGCAGATCGTTTATATTCACATACAGCTACTTTACACACTGCATGAAAGGTAATATTGGAAATAACATAATAGGGGCACTTTAAGTTGATTGATTGATTCATGTTTTAAATATGAAGATTTCCTTAGGTCACTGAAAAATAAAATCATGTAATTGTTTACTCACCCGCATGTCATTCCAAACCAGTTTGTAGTTATTTTTGGGACACAAGAATTGCATATAACAACACTTTACAATGTTTATCAAGCATTAAAAGTGACCAAAAGATATTGAATAAGTACAATAAAAGTCCATATGACTTGAGCCCTGTATTTCAAGTCTTCTGAAGCCATACAAAAGCCTAACAGGCTGTAATTTAAGTTCTTATTTGCTGATAATTTCCCCATCTGCTTCTGCTCTCAAATGTCATTCTTCATTCTGCATATTCAACAACATACATGAGAAACATTGGCCTTTGACATTAAGGACGTCAATCCTGATGAATGAAATTTGAGAGCTTTGAATATTTTCTGTCAATAACGACCTTAAATTTTAGGCCTATTGTATAGCTTCTGAAGACTTGAAGTATAAGTCTACATGTATGTTACTTTTTTCTGGTGTTTTTGTACTTTCTACAACTTGACATATGGTTACTACAATGAACTGTCATTGTATGAAAAATAACAGAAAAATAACGTTGAATTACTGAAATAAATGAACTTTTCCACGACATTCTAATTTATTGAGATGCACCTGTATATATATAATGACACTAAACTTTTCTAGCAAACAGTTTTTTAATGTTTAAAGGGAAATTGCCATTCATGGATCATAAAGACTTTTCATTTATGAAACTCACTTTAACTGTAAGAAAATGGCTTATAAAAAGGTTTCGTAAGACAAGCAAAAACTGCAGACTCATTGTAAGAAACTAACTGAATGCATCTCTTTTATGTTTGATGATTTTTACCTCCTCAGGGGCAGGGTATCATTCAGAATCCAAAGCCAAGGAATACAAACATGTGTGCAAGAGAGCTTGCCAGAGAGTGAGTTGCATGTGATTCTTCATTTAAAACTTAAGATTCTTCTGCTGTCAACTGTAACCTTTGGATAGCTCTGTCAGAGGTCACATAGACAAGACGTCAATTCAATGATATAATCAGTTTTCATTCCCAGCTCAGTTTGCAAGATGTTTTGATATGAATTATGTAATGTTTTTAAACCTAAGATTGATTCTTTTTTGCAGACTGTTCTTTCATTGCCAAAATACAAAAAGATATGCTAACAAAATTGTAATAGCTGTAATGCATAGGTTGGCAAGTTGCAATCCAGTGCTTTTCCCCATCCAAAGTGCTGTGTAAAGGATGAAAAGAAGGGATCAGGCTCGAGTAAAACACCTGTGCCAGGGAATTTGAGTTATGTGTTGATAACATGACACCAGCAGCAGCCCGAGCTGCTGCCCAGCTTAATATACCGTTCCACGCTGTCTGCTTGAGGCTTGTCAAGTGGAAAACACTGCAGCTTTATTTTATTTTTAAGCTCTTTGTATTGGATTATACAATTTTTTTTCTGTTTTGTCTAGATTATTTTAGTGTGTCTTTTCTGCATAAAGATCCTGAATCCTAAGTAGAACAAAAATAAACACTGAATGCACGTTGAGTTTTTTTTTTACACATTGCCAGAAGTGGGGTTGCTGTCATCAGTTGTGATTTAATGTGTTTCAGGCTGTGGACAGGCTCAGAGCTGGAGGAATGGCGCTAGAGGCCGTGACAGCAGCTCTTATCGAGCTAGAGGTGATAGTAGATCACAACAAACACACACCAACTCTGGTTATGACTGCATAGAGACTCTCAGAAAGAAAATATATAGAAAACATATGATCAGATATCAATGGGATGGCAAGGAAGTCAAATTCAACAATCTACAAAAAATAGTTTTAATATTTTTAATTAGCTTTTATTTTTATATTTTCACTTTTTAAATTTTAGCTTAGTTTTAATGATTTTATGTCCTTGTATTTTCTGTATAGCTTTATTTTCATTTCTGTATTAGTCATTGTAGTACTTCATATATACAATATATATTAAGACTATTCTTTAACACCAATTTTTTGTTTATCTTTTTGTTGAGCTCACAGAAATTTGTCTTTAAGGTTGATGCTTATTTACAGGACTCCCCGTTCACCAATGCGGGTACCGGTTCCAACCTGAACCTCTCAGGTGAGATTGAGTGTGATGCCAGCATCATGGATGGGAAGTCCTTAAACTACGGAGCTGTTGGAGCCTTGAGTGGTGAGTGCTCTTAGAAATTTTGGCGAGGCTGGTTGGAGCCTTTTATCATGTGGTTAAGGTGCTATTCGAATTTCAGGCAAAACAAATAAAGGCCAACTTCCACCCTCCTCAGGCTTTTATGAGAATGTGGCTAAATGCATTTTACAAAAATGCAAGGCTAAAAGACAGGCTGTCTTTTATTTTTTACTTTAGATAATAAATATACTGCAGTGAACTCCAATGAACTGCATTATCCTTCATCAGAAGTGCATGAAAAAGCCAAATGGTTTCTTATACTGTATTCAAAGCTGTCTTGAGTGAAAGTGATACTAATGCTGCTCTTTCTATCAGGAATCAAGAACCCGGTGCTGGTAGCCAGAAGACTATTAAGTGAAACTCAGAAGGGGAAGCTTTCAGCTGGCAGGATCCCTCCCTGGTGAGCCAACCTCTCTGATGTTGGCTTCTTGGCTATCAGCTTAGACATATAGATGGACTGACATACTTTATTGATGCCTAAGGGGAAAAACATTTGTGAAACAAGTAACATCAACATCTCAATTGCAGTATACACAGAATACACTATTATACATGAATGTAATGCAGCAAAACTGAACAAACTTAGTGCATGACAAAACATTCTGGTATTCTGACAAATGTTGCAGGTGTATTCTGTTAGCTATAGGAAATAAGTCACATCTCTACTTTGTCAGTTTTTTAGTGGGCAAAGGAGCAGAACAATGGGCCATCAGCCATGGTATTCCGGCATGCCCTACAGAGAAGATGACCACCAGTGAGTATCAGACCACCCAGAATCCCCTTTTAGCTGCTGCTGCATGCTTGACTGCAGTGTTTTTTTATTAGATTTCTGTGCATTAATAAAGATCAGGACATGTCTTTGGATATTGGTCAAAGAAATCCCATTATTTCACATTATTTGGGGAAACAGGAGATTGTTAAAACATATTACAACGCTCAAACATTTTCAGTAAATTTCTCTTTTAAGAAGCACATTAGAAGCAGTTTTAAGGTGAAATGACAAGATTCCCTCCACTCTGTTTTGATCTGTAAGGAGTAACTGGCATCCAGGTTTTTTTTAATAAAAGAGCTTGTTGTTTATTCTCTCATATAATGTAATGAGGTCTACAGTGGAGTTTCAACCTGTTACACAACACTTTCACACTGATTATTATTTGTGCTTCCTCTGTTACTGTAATCAGTTTTAATGCACACTAATATTATTCTCAATTATTAATTATATTAATATATTATTATACAAGAAATGTGTTTATACTGAGGAGTTTTTTTTTGTGCTAATGAGATATTTCTTAGTGTGTGTGACTTGTTTTTTTTTCTGCTAGTGTCTCATAATGCTAAAGATGAAAGCAGAGGAAGTTGACATCGCTGTTTTTAAGCAGATGCTAAATATGGATAAAATGTTATTGTTATAAAGTATTTCCAGTTATTGCATGAAACGTTCGATGACAGTGGTTGCATGGTGTATTTGGATGAACAGAACCATCTCAAGGATGAAAAATGATTTAGATGCACACTGGAAGTGGAATTTGTTTTATAATGATGTAGAATACTTGATAAACATTGACGTTTAAGATTGTTCTGTTTTAAAATCTCCAGCATTTATATTGTTTTAAATAATTGTATTATTTAATTTTACGTATTACAATTCTGCATTTTATTCAGCCTAAACTATAGCCTTATGTGTGCTATCTGTTTTGGTTTTGTGTTAATTTTATTCTTGAAAGTCTACAATTGTTCAGCATTGAAATTGTTACTGGCTGCAATGATGTAATTGTGAAATTTGAATGCTGAAATGTGATTTGTCTTATTTCAAGCACTAGTTTGCATAACTGAATTGATTTTTTGGTCCCACTTTATATTAAGTGGCCTTAACTACTATGTACTTACATCAAAAATAAGTACAACGTACAGTCATGGCCAAAAAGTTTTGGCAGTGACATACATTTTGTTTTGCAAAGTTTGCAGCTTCAGCTGTTGTGGTGTTCATTCACATTGTTTCTAGATTATTGTGTAGAGTGATCAGATGCATTTTAATTAATTGCTAAAAGCTTCATTGGCCAAAAAATGGACTTTTCACAAAAAAAAACAAATTTCACTGTTTTTTGATCCTGACACAAAATGACCCGCTAACATTAATTGACTAATCATATCAGCAGCACATGTGAAAGTGTGAATAAGTACTAGTCAGGTGAAATCACTATCAATAGATTGTAAGAGCAGACTGATTGCTATAAAAGGAGAGAAGAAGCGCTTCCTATCATTGTGTCCTCCTGAGGAGTCAGCTACGGAATCGTGTCACCAGCAGTGCAGAGCTTGCTCAGGAATGGCAGAAGGTTTGTGTGAGAGCATCTGCATGCACAGTGAGGCCAAGACTTTTGGACAGTGGCCTGGTGTCAAGAAGGGCAGCAAAGAAGCCACTTCTCGCCAAGAAAAACTTCCAAGAACAGACTGAAGTTCTGCAGGAAGTACAAGGATTGGACAGCAGAAGACTGGTGCAAAGTTATTTTCTCTGATGAAGCTCCCTTCCGACTGTTTGGGACATCTGGAAAATTGATTGTTCGGAGAAGAAAAGGTGAACGCTACCATGAGTCCTGTGTTGTGCCAACAGTGAAGCATCCTGAGACCATCCATGTGTGGGGTTGCTTTTCAACCAAGGGAGTGGGCTCTCATAATTCTGCCCAAAAACACTGCCATGAATAAAGAATGGTATCAAAACGTCCTGCAAGAGCGACTTGTTCCAACGATCCATGAGCAGTTTGGTGATAATCCGTGCATTTTCCGCCGTGATGGAGCACCATGTCACAAAGCAAGAGTGATAAAGAAGTGGATCGAAGATCATTACATTGAAATTTTGGATCTGTGGCCAGGCAACTCCCCAGCATGCCAGAGCGAATTGCAGAGGTTATGAAGAACAAGTGTCAACACTGTAAATATTGCCAATAAAAGCCTTTAAAACGTATGATATGCTTATCATTGTTTCTCAGTATACCATAGATACATGTGGAAAAATAATCTACAAATACTGAAGCAGCAAACTTGGCAAAACAAAATTTGTCACTGCCAAAACTTTTGGCCATGACTGTACTTATTGTGTTCATATTGTATTTCAAAACACTTTTGCTGCTATTGAGGTGGGAAACGGGTAAGGTTAGGGACAGGTTTGGTGGTATGGGTAGGTTTAAGGGTGGGTTAAGGTGTAGGGGATGGGTCAACAGTGTAATTACAGATCAAATGTAAGTACAATGTAAAAACATTTATGTACACAATAAGTGCATTGTACCAAATTATTAATTTAAATGTAAGTACATAGTAGTTAAGGCCACTTAATATAAAGTGGGACGGTTTTTTTTTTTTTTTTTTTTTTTTTTTTGTCCTTTTATATATTTAACGATTTAGCCACGTTGCACAGCCGACTGAAAACAAGACACTCACTAATTCTCAGTGACAGTGACAAAGTGATCTGATACAGCGTTCTATTGCAAGCACTTGTATTTCCTTCAGGGAATGAAAATCTAATTCTTATTGTCCTTTTTACTGAATTCCCCACAGGTTATGTACAGTTTTTATTGAAATATACTAGATGAGGAATAGCTTGAAAGCTTTCTATGTTCAGGCTTTTACCAAAACCACTGCCTTTTATTTCAGTTGTAAGTCGGTGGCACGTAATCATTTTATTGAATAGTGATTGGCAAGAAGGCATGTGATCTCATCTGCTGGAGTATTTTTAATTCATTGACTGTTATTTTTACCAGCTCTAATTGCATTCCATTAAATTCTGCAAAGTGACGTATTTGTGCCCATTTCATTGATTCATTTTCTTTGATTAAGACATTTTCACAGGAGTGGAATGCAGCGTTTGTTAAGAATGTTAGAATGGCTTCTATACTTTAATAGAGGGCCCCATGCCGACTCCCAGTTTGTGTCAGACAGCGATAGAGTGTGTGTTGTCAGTGTTGGAAGCGATCTGATGCCAAAACCATGACCTCACTCCAACACATGTCCCATTATTTAGGGAGACTTTGAGGATTTCAACCACATTTCCACCAACAGACTGATTTATTATGTGAATAAAGGCTCCCCCGCCAAACACACACCCTTGCTGCACTATGCTATCATGAAGAATAATAATAATAATCAAAGCAATAAGGCCACAGCAGCAAAACAGTTGTCAGCATTTAGTGGGTCCTGGCACACACACACACACAGAGTTTTTTGGATAGGCAGTAGAGTGATATCTGTTATTGATTGCCACACCTTTTTTCAACACTTTACAGAGTTCAGTTTGTCAGGCTACAAGAGGAACAAGAGGAAGATGGAGCTGGCGGAGCAGGTTGAGACGAAGAGGAAAAGACAATCATGTGAACATGTGAGTGAATCTAAGTCTACCTTCACACTGCAGGAAAATGTGGCCTAAATCTGATTTTTTTTTTTTTGCTCATATGTGACTCCGATTTCATGACAGTGTGAACAGCACAAACCACATGGAATCCGATCTTTTCGATTCTGATTTGGGCCACTTTCATAGGGCATCACGTCGGGGTCAATACAATTTTGGGGAAGTCGTGGCCTAATGGTTAGAGAGTCGGACTCATAACCCAAAGGTTGTGGGTTCGAGTCTCGTACCGGCAGGGATTGTAGGTGGGGGGAGTGAATGTACAGCGCTCTCTCCCACCTTCAATACCACGACTGAGGTGCCCTTGAGCAAGGCACCGAACCCCCAACTGCTCCCCGGGTGCCGCAGCAAAAATGGCTGCCCACTGCTCCGGGTGTGTGTTCACGGTGTGTGTGTGTTCACTGCTGTGTGTGTGCACTTTGGATGGGTAAATGCAGAGCACTAATTCCGAGTATGGGTCACCATACTTGGCCACATGTCATGTCACGTCACTTCACTTCGTCACTTCACTTCACTTCAAATCTGATTCAGATCAGATGTTTTGCAATGCGACCACAGTCTGAACGGTCTTTTACATTACTCTAGATTGACATTCGTCATTATTCCGCACGACAGGAGACAATCCAATGATTTTACATACCGGTAAGTCTTTGATCACACAAGTGAATATGACCGATGCGGAGGCAGTCAGTAGAGAGACAGTGTGATGTTATTTTATGGCGTATTACACTGACAGCTCTATACAAGCTAAACTTAAGGGAGTCGTACGGTAAATATTTAAAACCTTTGCTCTCTTTCTCCTCATCTTCATCCTCCTTATCACCTGCTCACAAATTTGCTGGCTTTCGCGGCACATCAGCTTATAAATGCTTACTTAAGTGGCCTCCTTGTTTTCTTCCATGTGACAGCGTGCTTCATGACATCTTGTTTTCGTTCTTTTGCTCATGCGGGTTAGTTCAGGACTGTCATTGATTCACACTAGAATCTGATATTGGCCACATTTAAAAATGATAATATGGTAAAAAATCTCTCTGAGCAAAGCTTCTCCCATCCAAACAAGGTCTATACTTAACACCTGCTCAATTATTACATTATTTATTACTACTAATAATTAATGTTATACAAAATGTATAAATATAATTTTAAATCTAAAATCTAAAATATATTAATTTAATTATTACATTAATATTTAATTGTATTATGCAAAATATTTATTAATTTAATTATTATATATTGGGATGAATTATTAATTATTTATATTACAATGAATAATCTAATTGTCATGCAGACAGAAACATAAAAAAAATGTACCATTGTACCACTACCTTTGTCAGGTGTGGCAAAAAGTTAAAACCTTGTTTGGACCTTGAGTTTAAAACCGAGTTCAAATTAGGCAGCATTTGTCTGTTCACACTAAATACAAAACTTCTGCATTACCTGACTGAATCACATCCATATTTGATATTTAATACACTGTTATGTGGAGAAGACCAATGAGATTTCAGTATGGGTGGGGCTATCCGGAGTGACTTCAGAAATAGAAACAAAGCTTCCGTCAAAGTGTTCTGAACTTTGTCAGGTCTGTTTCAGACTTGATGTTGAGAGTTTCTTGAGAGTTTTTTTAATAAAAGGGAAAACTTTAACATTCAGGATATGCCGTTGATTTTTGGCATAGGCTTTAAACCCCCTGATTAAAAAAAAGACTGAACTAAATATGCAAGTTTCTCCTATAAATTCTCCATGATGTATAAGTTTCCACCCTCCCATTCAGTTTTAATTAGACACAATTAAACACAGTGCAGCGGAGGCATTTGCTCTGACATTATTATTCGACTGATAACAGGATCTGCATCTGTTCAGTCCTCTAATTCAAAACCACCACATATACCCAGAGGAGGAAACCCATAGGGTAATGACGACCTTGAAGGGGGTGTGTAGACCTCAAATACTCACAATCACACGAAACACACATACGTATACTTACTGCACTGCTGACATGGCACTGCACACAAGGAATTTGACTTGGGTGACACAGTTCTGTGACACTCTTTTGTAGCTGCTTGTCATTGCCCTGAAAAACATGAGTTCAGCAGGTAGTCTTGAAAAGGTCAACTTGAAAAGATCTTTTTAGCCATTTACTCTGGGGCTGTTTCAAAGGCATAATTTAGTTCATGGACCCAGTGTTATTTTAGTATCATTGAGATACTTTTACTGTTTTTATTAATATTTTGAATATTACTTTGAATTTTACTATATTATTTAAAATACAGTATTTAGTTTTATATTTTACATTTTAATTTGAAAGTTTTAGTAATTTTCTTGTGTATTTGTCATTTTTAGTATAATTCTATATAGTTTTTATTCATTTATGTCATGTTAAGTTATTTTAGTACATCAAGTTAAACTAAATTAAAATGAGAAATGTTTATTTTATGTTTAGTTTATTTTCACTTCAGTTAACTTCATTTTAGTTTCAGTTTTAGGTAACCATAATAACCCTGCATGGACCATTTATCTTATTTTAAAGTAATTAAAAATACAGGTTAAGGAGTTTTAAGGCAATCGTTGATGCGTTATGAGACCATGGTGCTTCAGCACCATCTCCACCCTGCCGCCCGATCTCCCGCGCCCACATCTTGAAGTTATTTCTCCAAATTATTTCCTGTAATGTGCTTGAACATGTTAGCATCTCTCCTACATTTTTGGTAGATTTTCAAGGAAGCGATTTGACAGGTACACATGTAATGCAGGTGTTGAGGGAAAATGGGTTCCAGCGCAAATCCGTCCGTGATGTGATGCTTGTGTGGTCCCGATGAGAAAGCGAAATGTGGGTCATTAGTTGCAAATTACATTGTCTCAAAATGTGGGCGAAAATGTTATTGGACAGGAAAGACAAATACGTTGCGGTCTAACTTGGTTTGGTATATGTGGTACTCTTGTTCGGTGTTCGAACCTTGTATGGTTTGTTTTAAAGATAGCATCAGTTTGAAGTAAGTGATTGCTGTTGGCGCTGTCTGCATGAATGATCTGTGCCTCTGGGATGCCACATGGTCTTTCTTCCTTCAAGTTAGTTCAGTAAATACTTTTCTCCAGAGCTATGCATTAAAAGGTCATTAAGATAACAACACAACCCCCAGTCTCTTCTCAAGTGGCCTGTGGTTTGTTTGATTTTATAAGTGCCATATTTATTGTTTTACTGTGGATGAAATGCATTTGTATGGCATGGATAGCCTGGGGTCTAGGGGTTCTTGCTCATTTTTAATGCATTTAAGTGTTTTGCAGAACTTAACTTCTGTTATGTGGGTGGGTGCACTCGTGATTTATAGAAACATAACTTTAGCATTGAAAGTTTCCCACAGTTTTGGGAAACTTGGGAATATTAGGGAATCTTAGAATTTTGTGTTTTATATCATTGTCTTGCCTGGAGTTTTTGAGTGTTTTGATTTATAGAAGTTCCCACGATGAGTGCTTTTGGGGAAAAAAAAAAGTAATTACTGGATTTGCAGACATTTGTAAGGTTTGTGTCTTAGAGAATAGTTTTGCAAAAACCACAAATGGCCTGGCATAAACTTGGTGTGAAAGGCAAGGTGCTTAAAAAACATTCGGGGGTTTAGTTAAGGCTAAATCTATTCAGGGCATATGCCCCGGAAACCCAGCCCTAGTGCCGCCCATGTTTTCAGGCTTGGAAATATCATAGAATTTATGTCTTAAGTCTTAATAGCTACTGTAAATACTAAGTATTGTTAAAAATCAACAGTGTATTATACAATTATATTAAATAATGGCATGACATGAAAATCTGCTTGAAAAGTCTCCATAAAATGGTGGAAAAAATCCAGTAATTGTGAGTAGGGTGGGGTGATATGATGATTTTATATCATGATTGATCTTGAAGACATCGACAAACTACTTTTAAATTGTAGAGATCGTGATCTTTTATGTATTCGGAAAAATGTTAAAACTACAGCAGTGACTGCCTACTAGATGACTGTGACTGGCCAACTGATATCACGTGTCTCTATTATGTGTCTTTCATGTGAGGTGATGTATTTGAAAACAATTCAACGTGAGCTAGCAGTGCTAGTGCGATGAATCAAATCTTAGTTTTAGTTTGGATGTTAATAAAGTGGCCATTGTGCCATTCCTTTCATTTAAAGCGGTGCGCTTTTGCCACTCCTTAAAAGCCTAACAACATCCAAATCGGTCAAATCATGTAACATGAGTATTAAAAAAGGCAGTCTACTGTGGGACATGCTTTATTATTAACTGCAAAAGAGACTGTTCCCCAGACGCGTTCTGTGAGCTCGCTCCGACACTGAGCTAAACACAAGCAGGCAGAGTATACTTGAGGTTTCAGGCGTGCGCATAAACGGTCATATATACACAAAAAATATGTCAAAATGTCTGTCTTGGTTAGTTTTTACAAAAAGACAGTAAGTTATGTCTTAATTGAGCATAAACAGCTGGGAAGGAAATCGGATGCATGTCAGTATGTTAGATCCATGCATTCGGTCTTAAAGAGACAGTAACGTAATAAACCTACTGCTGTCTGTATCATTAATGTCAGTCAAACAAAAAAAAAGACAGAAAATCACTTACTGCTCTTGACTGAATCACTTTATAACTTTAATAAGAATCAATGTATATTTAATTCATACAGGGATGCAGTGTTTTAACGTTTAACTCAGGTTTTAAAGACCCTTTTGACAGCGGATTGTTTAATGCAATACTGTGTTTTTTAAATTGTGCAAATAGATAAGTCATAGGCTTGTTCCAGCCTGGATATTCTCTATAGTACATCTCAAAATTGGGAAGAACCCGATTCAGATCATGGATCGTGATTGTGTTGTTATAAGATCGTGATATGATATTTTGGGAAGATCACCCACCCCTAATTGTGAGCAATTGGGAGTTCATTGGTCAAAGTATGGAAACGCTGATTTTTTTTTTTTACAGAAAAAGATGACAAAGATGGAAACATTTCAACTCAATTGAAGATTTTTACCAACTTGCTTTCATGACACACCAAAATAGAGACAAAGCAGAATCATTTTTAAGACATAAAGGTTATATAAACAGCTACCCATAGAGGAGAGGAAAATTGATGCTCCTCTTTGGAAAGGTCTGTGAGCAGATGTTGTACTGGAGTTGATTTTGTCAGATTTATCGCTCATGGTGAGATCAATATTAATAACGTTCTGTTTTTGCCTGTTTGCTCATATATTAGTAGATTATTGCACATAATAATCAGCTGATGTCTGAAGATCTACAGTATGTCCCAGTAATGACACTCTGTTCATGGGAAGATGGAATAATAAATTATAAGTCATCCTGTCCCCTTCCGCAGTTTCTCAGGAAAGGCCAATTTATCAAACAGCTCTACAACTCTTGCGGTCCACATCAACGTTTTATCCAAAGTACACAGCAATCAGCAAATGAAAACAGTCCTTTAAAAATTACCACTTTACTCATTATAAATGAGAGCACGAGGATCATTTTTCAGATGCTGATATGTAATTGGACTTTATTTGCTCAAGTTAGATAGCGACGTGTATTACAGTTCCCAGGTTTGTCAGAAAGTTCAAGTTTGGTTATGGTAGCCAGCTGGGTCTGAAAGCCAACTTCATAGACAAGAAAAAAACATTGCAAGAGAAGCAATGTTCAATGTGTTTTAGTCTAGTATTATTCTGGGCTTTGGAAATGTGCCTTTTTTGCTGTTGCCAGTAACCACAGCCTCTTTGTTCCTGTTTTTTGGCCATGGTTTAGCATGAAGATACATTGACACTTACATTTATTTTTGATTTCACTGTGTAAATGAACTCAGGATGTTAGATTGTAGGAAAGTGCTGGTTAATTTCTGTGTGCGCGATAGGAAATTCTAATTGAATGGCAATTTTGTGTGCAGGAGAATGATTTTGGCTGCTTGGAACCTGTAGGAGACTTTATGGTGGAAGGTGAGGAGAATAACTCGGCCTGTCTGGACACGGTTGGTGCGGTTGTGGTGGATCGGGAAGGGAATGTGGCGGCTGCAGTTTCCAGCGGAGGTCTGGCCATGAAACACCCGGGTCGGGTGGGACAGGTGACATTTGATTTTCTCTCAAGTCTGATCATATTCTATTTGACCATCATGCTGTATATTAAATAAATGATCATAATCATAAAATTATTTTATGCATTACTGCAGCAGCAGATATTCTTATTTAACACATTTTTCTTCAAATGTTTCTGTCTCAGGCTGCTCACTATGGTTGTGGCTGCTGGGCTGAAAACGCCCGTGACATCAGCCTTTACTCTACAGCTGTGAGTACCTCAGGTATCAAAAACACTGGAGTCATATTAGTGTGACATTACTGTACATTTACTGCTTTTTGATTTCTGTTTTGCACAGATTTCATACAGCCATTAATTTGTTATTGTTAAAAAAAAATTGTGCACAGATACAGTCCTGATGAAAATCTAATTTGTAGCTTGAAACTTTTGAAATTTCTGCCCTTTCTTTGGCCCTGATGTAGATGTCAATCCTTTCCTCCAACATCTTAATGCCATTAGCCAGTTGCTTAGTAGGGACATATTTCAAGAGCAAAAAAAAAGAGGAGATTTTCTGCTTTACTTGGGATGCCTGCTGTGAGCGGGGCCCAAGGCTGTGCTATTCATGTTTTAAACTAATGCTTTCTGTCACATAAATAAAACAAGATTTTCTCACTTATATTGTTGTGTGCCCAAGTCAATGGGCCACAGACATGATTCACGTCTCCATACAGCACATACAAGCACGCATGTTTATTGTGCCCATAGAGGATGTCTGGCAACCACATGTGACGACCACGGGCTGGACTCCGCTTCGTCCACGGTGAAACCAATCCGGCGATCCACAGCGCGAAGTTGATGTATTCCTCTTTCCTCTTTTGGAAGGCCAGACAAAGTAGTTTCGCTTTCACAACGAAACACACAGTGCCTTCACGACATGGCGGCGGTGGCAACAACAATACTACAGCGAGAATAAAAGTTATGCCTTCTTTCTTTGCGTGAACATTTGGGCGGCGTTATGCAAATCTTCCCACATCCTGACATAGACATGTGGGGGCATGTTAGAACGAGCCATTTTAGGTAGGCGTGGCTGACTCTTTTATAAAGAATATCTCTTTGGATTTGAGACTTTAGTCTTTGCAACTTTACAGATCTTCTTTATGCACCAAGAGCTTGTAACACTTCAAAGAGAAAGGAAAAATTGAAATCGCATGATATGACCCCTTTCATAAAATAAAAATAAATAAAAAATAAGAAGAAATGTTTCTTGAGCACCAAAATGCCATATTAGAATGATTTTTGAAGCATCGTGAGACTGAAGACTGGAAGATTTCAGCTTTACTATAATAGGAATAAATTACATTTTAAAATACATGAAAATGGAATGAAGTTGTTTTATATTGTAATAATATTTTACAACATAGTGGAACATAGTTTTTACTTTTTTCTTCTTCACCAAGGCTGAATCTTACTGACATCAAACTTTTGAACAGTATTGTATATTATAAATAATTATGTGTATTATTGTATTATACCATGGTTATGTTAATTGTCTCTTATTTTGATGGGGAGATAGAGGATTGAATCATATGTGCATATACCTGATATGGCCATGGTGAGTGTATTGTGCATTACTTTGATGTAACATGTATTAAACGTTTAATTTATTCCATCTCCCCTTTTCAGTGCAGTAAATTTGCAATTACTTTGTTAAACACCACGACATGGCACAAGAATCTTTTCAGCATAACTGCACCTGTAACTTTATTATAATATTTCACAAGGCGCATCGTTGCTTTTAACAATCAGACAGCTTGTAAAAAGTTCTGCTTGGCTTTGAATTGTCAGACTGTAGCCTCTGTTAATATGCTTCCCTGTGCCATAATCACTTACACAATTTCCAAAGAGTGTTACACTATGATGAAGGCCATATTTCTTTTCCTTCATCCTTTGTCCTGCGGCACCCTTGTGTGAAAGCACCTTTGGCCTGGCCTGAGCCCAGCAGTGAACACACACCTGGCCCATTGAAGAGAGACTGGGATTCATTCAAGCTTGGCATGTTGCACAGGGGTGCAGCATGTAAGGTTTCCTCATATTATAGAAGATTCCTATTTCAAATACATTCTGTTCTTTTGAACTTTCGACTCATAAAAGAATCCTGAGGAAAAATAGTGTATCACCATTTCCAAAAAAAAAAAAAAAAAAAGTTGTCGGTGCTGTCGGTCACACTTCTTTTTTTTAAAGAGATTTTGGTCAGTCTTTGCAGCCTAAAAGTTTTTTTTTTTGTTTTAGTTAGTTTTTTTTTTTTTCATTTATTTATATATTTGTTTATTTATTTATTGCACAGTGGCATCTTGAAAAAAAAGTATAGATTTTTTTATTTTGCATAACACTAATTTTTAGGGCTAATTAAGCATGCCCTACCCACAACATATTTTTTATGTCTTTGAAAAGTCACTTTATTGTTAATGGCAATTATCCAAATGTTCTCATCACTGTAATAAAGTAAAACACATTTTTAATAGTTTTAATATAAAGATTAAGACTAATATTAAGATTAAAAGAATTGAGAAGCACATTTTTTGTCATGAAGATGAAACCATTATGCAACAAGTCTTAAGATCCTAAATGGTCCAAAAACAGGCTTTTTAAATGCAATATATACAGTAATTTCATTTTAATTTCATTTTGATGGTAAATATTACCCAGACATTTCTTGACAGATTTTTTTGAGATATGCCCTGTTGCTTGATTCAACAGGTCTGAAATATTACAAACGCTGTTTTAAATGTGATTAACTATTTTTATAAATTTTCTTTTTACTTAGTTCCCGTGGGGACACCTGTCCTGTCAAACTTTTGGATGATCTGATATCTGGTCTTAAATGGCCATAAAATAAGCTTTTTTTCCCCTTTATGCAATATACAGTTTCTCATTTTTTATTGAGGAATATTACCCAGACATTTTCCTGACAGGTTTCTTGAGCGCTGTTTTACATGTGTGCTCCCTGTTAACATTTTTACTTTATAATCACACAAACTCATGTGCAATAGGCACGAAACTCGCATTGTGTTTTGTGCCTTTTTGTTTTTGATCGCCATTCCAAAAACAAAAGCAGAATCACACATTTTATCACCTTCTCCCCCCATGGCCATTTCAGCATGCATTTCTCTTTCATCCTTCTCAAAATTGAAAACGCATGGCAGTGAGGACAAGCCGCTCGAGTGTGCGCTCCAGCGGTGCACCTGCTTTTCATTTCCCAACTTAAAAGGCGTTCCTATCAAAAGGAGGAGAAAAACAATCACTCTGGCTTCAAACTGACACAAAGAGCTCGCTTTCTCTCAGGTCAACCCTGTTAGACTCTGCAGCGCTTGTTGTGGTTTCGCTTAGGGCGAATGGCGAGTTGGTGTTGATTCCTTTCGCTACATTTGCCCGTTTCTTGTCATCTCTGGTTTGTTGTGTTTTATTTACTTTCCACTGGAAATTGAGTTTGCACTATCATGGCACTGTTTGCTTGTTAAATTAGCTGTTAACTTGTGGTGTTGTTGCCAGTAACATCCATTTCTCGAGAGAGAACGAGAGGGTTTACGGTAACTTGAAAATAGTGAGCCAACGGTGGAGCCAGTCGTTCGTTCGTTCTTTTGTTAAAACAACAAAAAAGAAAAGAAATTAGCATCTAATTGTCATGGCAACAAACTCGCACAGAGTTTTGTTGTAGTTACCTGATATTTTACGAGGCCCGCGTTTGTGTTTACAGAAACAACACAGCTATTTTCTTTAGGCTTTATGGTTTCTTAGGCTTGAGCGGCTGCCAGACATTTTGTGTTCAAGGCATTTCTTTACACTCCCCTCCCTTTTGAAAACTGGCTGCTGAAATGCAAATGACTGTGAAAGTCTTCTGTGTTTTGACAGTGATATTAACTGTTTTTATACATTTTCTTTTAACTTTGTTCCTGTGGGGACACCTGACCTGTCAAACCTCAAAAGTTAGATTGTTTGCTCCTGAAGAACTCAGTTTAGCATATCAAAGCCAATCTTATAGGAATAGGTTTGTTTAAAATGAACAAATGACTCTTAAGAGTGGTTTGTTTTAATGAATTGTTCAAGCAGATTCATAAACTCGACTTGGTTTTCATCATTCTGACTAATCCAATTTAATATATATGCTATATGAATTTACACACTACCATGCAAAGGTTTGGAGTCAGTAAGACTTTTTTTTTTTTTAAGAAACTTAGTACTTTTATCCATCAATGATGCATTAAATTGATCAAAAGTGACAGTAGAGACTTTCACATTGCGATTGGAAGATCAATCACAATTTAGCATGCAAATGAAGAAACAGCACTTGCAATTTAATATGCTAATACACGTCAATTGCAATTCAGTATGAAAACAACATTTTATGAAACACCATGAAGACAGACAAGCGGAGTTATACAAACAGTGAAACGTCTTAGTGATTTTGGACTAATAAATCAGATTATGCAATATGTTTTTTTTTTTGTCAAATAAAAATAAATACTGAATTATTGAATGTGGGTCTTTTGTGTACTATTGCAGGCTCTGGAGAGCATCTGATTCGCACCATGTTGGCCAGAGAGTGCTCTACTGCCATGCAGGCTGAAAATGCACACCAGGCCCTACTGGAGGCTATGCAAAACAAATTCATCAGTGAGTGATTCTCAGGGACTCTCTTTCCCTCCCTGTCACTCTGTTTTCATGTTTTTTCTCTCTCTCTCTTCCAGCAGGCTAGCGTCACTTTACCACAATATGTGTGAGTAAGAGCAGCTCTTGAGTTAAAACTGAACAACAAAATTATTAACAACTTGCTTGACTGGAAATGAGCGCTACAAAAATTCGGCAGCCACATTTTTTTCTATTTGTTTGGATTTGGGGATCAATAACATTCTTTTGTATTGGCTCCACAAGTTTTTGGTTAAATCATATTTATCTGGCCACAGTTATTTTCAGATGCCATAAATACTCTGTTGACGGCATTTGAAGATGTCGCTTGCTTTCATGTTCAGAAGCTTTGCTCATTTGGTTTCTTTTCTGGGCTTGTGAAATCGGGTGACCGCTTGGATTTCATACTGAATGTAGCACACAAAATACATGTGGGAATATTTGCTGGTTTTGGCCTGTGACCTTTATAGTTTTGTTGCACGGAAATCCACAACTGCAGGAAATGCATCAATCTACATAAATATCCAAAACAAACCTTTTATTGCATGTTGCCTTGTTTCATTGCACCTTTGCATTGCGTCTGGTTTGGTTATCACTTTTTTTTTACCTAATAATTAAATAAGTGGACCTGAAATATCGATCTAATTTGAAATTATTTTATTATGTGAGAAGAAAGAGACTGTGGAGTGCCACCATGTTTATACTAGTGTTGTAGTACTTAAGACAGGTCTTGGTCTCAAAACTGGTCTTAAGACCATTTTTGAAGGTCTTGTCTCGGTCTCGAATGCATTTGTACTGCTTCAAATGCAATAAATAACTTCATTTGATACTGCTGTGCCCGGTCAGAATTTAATAGGGAATTGTCAAAAATTTCACCAAAATTAATACAAATACCCAAATATTTTAAGATATGATTGCAAAAAAGTACTTGTATGAGATCTTGTTTTTATATTATATAATATAATTGACATGTAATTGAGCAATATCACAAGAGCAAGAGAGCTGTTTTCATGAATATGAGCAAAATTGCAAACATAATATTAATTTTATGCAAACGTTCAACAAACAAGTTAATATTAAGTCAAATACATTTTAGACACAATTTTAAACACAAGTTTTTGTTATTTCGCCAGCGAAAACAGTTCCAAACAAACCCATAGCAGAACTGTTGTGCATTTCCGGGCAGCTGAATTCGTTACTGAATGAATCAGCTGCTTTGAACGAAAGATTCAGTGACTCGCTCATTAAGTGATTTGCAGCCACCTAGCCACAAAAAAATCATTTGATTTTTTCCATCATATCTCTATAATTCCAAAAATTTATTTTTAAAACATTAGTCTCAACCATATTTATGCAGCTGTAATTGTACCAATTCAGATGAAACTTCTGTGCCACTTCTGCAGTGCAAAGATGAATTTTATTGTTAGTGATCACATTTGATTGGTAACCGCTCTATAAAGTGTCTTAATATTCAAGTTATATTTATTGATTAAATATCAGACATTTCTTAGGCAGAAAATGTGGATCTTTCAGACAAATTTGAGAAGTGCTTGTTTGGTCTTGGTCTTGACTCGGTCAAAACCTCTAAAACTCTTGGTCTTGTCTTGGTCTCAACTCTCTGGTCTTGGTCTCAACTTGGTCTTGGTTTAAGTAGTCTTGACTACAACACTAGTTTATACTATTACACTAGTTGACTGCAGGATGCTGTGACTGACCAATCAGAATCAAGTGTTCCTGAAAGCTGTGTAATAAATTTGATTACACTGTGGGGATGCTTAGATGAAACAGAAGAAAAGAATAAAAGGCTTTTTAATGGAATACTTGATAAAGATCAGTTTTAAGGTGTCTTTTGAAGTGTGGTGCTAAGACCATGTTCTGTGTGAAGGCCATCCAGGTTTTCATTGAAGGGTTTTAATTGAGAGGTGTCATAAAAAGAGCTGTGTTCTGTGTAAACAAGCTGAACACAACATGATATGCAAAATCAGTATGGCTTTAAGGAAATCGAGCACCTATCTGAGGTGAAATTTCAACTCTTCCCTCCTGTGGACTGATGTTATGCTTGAGTGCTTCAAACCTATGCTGCGGCCAGTTTTGAGATGCAATCATTTGAATGGGCTTGAAGCCCGTTTTGCAGCTCAAAATCTTTTGTTTTTTTCCTCTTTGGAAAAGTATGAGCATTTTCATGCTTTCTCAACAGAGTCTCTTTATCAGGACTCCGGAGGGGTTACAGAAATAACTCATTCCATCATTAACCTATTAAGGAGCGAAAAGTAGCTCTGCTCCCAATTTTTCTCATTTGGTTAATAAAACAAAACCTTTGGAAAGAATAATTGTTTTCAGTCGTTTAGGTTGGCAGGGGAAAGTACGGAAATGTATGGCTTTTCCGCTCATTTCATTAACTTCTCAGAACAGAGCATAACTAATAAATCATTGACCGAATCGCTGGATTTTCTTAGATGCCTCCAACATGTTTAATTTCTTCTTCACATCTAAATAGACTGATTGTAGTAGAAAGAGGGTCATGGTTGAAATGCAGTTGGCTTGTTTGTGTTTAAGGTTCGCCGTTCCTGGCTGGCGAAGACTGTGTTCTGGGTGGGGTGATCGTTCTGAGGTGCTGCACATGTGGAGAAGCCCAGCGCTCTGAAGACATCCAGGCTCTGCTGGGTACGTGCTCTTCTGTCCTGCCTTAGCTTAAATCGAATACATCTCAAATCTAGATGATTGTGTGTTCAAAAACATTAAAAAAGAATGGAACAGAATTCAGCGATCCTCAGACAGGCTATAAAAAGTTAAATAAAAATAACAAGACTGAAGAACAGGAATAATATAAAGTGATATAATTTTTTCCAGTCATTTTTCCCATTTTATTAACTTAATTCAAATGTTTGGGGTTGGAATTTTTTATTTTTAATTTTTGAAAAATATCTCTTATATGCTGTGTGTATAGATAGATAGATAGATAGATAGATAGTATTTAAAGGACAAAAATGCAGTTGGAGGATTTGAGGAACATCTGAACATCACTGAAGATTCCCTGAAAGCCATTTATAATGTTGTTGTTCCCCCCACATCGTTTCTTTCTGATGCCTCCCTCACATTCTTGTCTAAAGATTCAGACTATTTTTCCAGGCGTCTTTGTTTAAACATTCAGGGATAAACATGGCAGCTCCCTGCATTCACAAATAATAGAATAAACAGGTCTGAAAGTGTGGTCTGGCCTCAGAGAATAAAGGCATTGTTATGATTATGGCCGACACTCAATGGAAGAAAACATTTGAGACCGATATGAAATGTGCTTTTCAATATCAGTCTTTGTCTGATGTGTTGATCAACTGTTCAATCTTGACTTCAATTTGTAGGCCAACTCAGAAGGCTATTTCGCCATGGGTTCCCTTTGGAATTTCGAATCGATTTTTAGAATAGTGGTTTTACAGACATGAGTAAAATAAGCATTGTGGTTACTTAGAGTTTATAGCAAATGCAGAGCACAAAATCTCTCACTTTCTTTAAATTATACAAATATAGTATTTCATTCATTCATTAAAAAAGAGCTATTTTAAAAAATCTATTTGAAATTCCTGTAGGTGTTCTAATTCTCTTCCAGGTTTATAGAAAGTGTAATATTCTAAGGACTTTTTTAATAGCTGTATTTCACAGTCATTGTGTCTCTCTTTTATTCACAGTGGAGTTTCTATGGAGCCATACAACAGAGAGCATGTGTGTGGGATACATGTCTGCCCAGGACAGTAAAGCCAGGGTAAGAAGTTCCTGCATCTGATCTCCCTCATTATAGGCTCTTCATCGCTACACTGTTAACAATGGACCACATGTGTTTTTTGTGAACACATCTTTAGGGTAAAGGGTTTGTTCAAGTGTGAGCAATAGTAATAGTGATGCTTGACTTAACAGTCATCATTATTAATGTTTGTTAGTATTATTACTGAAATGTATTATTAAAGTATTACCAAAACTCCAGTTGGCTTAGCTTTGGCAGTCAGTTAAAAAACGTAATCTTAGCAAGTCCTCATGCCCAAGAAGTGGTAAGAACACAGAAAATGTCCACTAATATGCTTTTTATATTTTTTGTTTCTGGTATATAATTGGTAGCAGGTACTCATAAAATGAAGTTGTTCAAAATGAACAGTACTGCTGAATTATGACGGCTAATTCTTCCGATGACTCTAAAGAAACCTTGCAGAAAAAAGACACCAGCTCATTCCTGTACCATTCCAGAAACATTCCTCTCATTCCTGCATGCATTGTGCTGCTGTGTATGTGTGTGTGTCTGATGAGATGAAAGCCCAGAGCTGATTGGCAGCTCAGTGAGATAGAACACAGTCCGCAGCTCTTGGAGTGTGTGCCGTTTTAACCGTTTCTATTCATGCTAGTAGCTCAGAGCACGTCTGGAAGGGTGCATTGACCCATTTTAGAATAGCCTTTTGTTGGGTTTGTGTTCCGAACAGGGGCTCTAGTCAGTTCTTGCAGGAACCAGTGTACTCTTTATCCGGTCTATTGTCGGCACAGGCTGGCTGGAAGCGGTGGCTCTCTGTTGCTTCAAGCTTTTTGCCTTTCATGCCTGGCATTGATGAATCTATTACACTAACATGTAGGGGTGGGAATCACAAGGTACCTGACAATACGACAAGATACGATACACGATACATGGCTCACGGTACCGATAATATCACAATACAGCAATTCTGCTATAATCGATATATTGCTAGACAATCCTATAATGATACATCACGATATCTGTCTAACTATGAAAACAAAATGCCTGTGAAAAGATTAAAGTGATAGTTCACCTTCAGTTGCTGGTCCCTATTGACTTCCATAGTATGGAGAAAAAAAACACTATGCAAGTCAGTGGGAATGTGAACTATCCCTTTAAGTGCAGGTTCTCTCTCTTCATTCAAGTCCAAACTGCAAAGTTGTTTTAAACCTGAATGAGTTTCTTTCTTCTGTTGAATGTAAAAGTTATTTTGAAGAATGTGGGTAACCAAACAGTTGCTGGTCCCCAGTGACTTAGTCTGATGATACATGGGGCAACTTTTTGAGCAATTTTGTCGGGCAACTTTTTTGAGCAATGTTGCTTGGGCACTTTACCATCGAGAATGGGTAACAAATTTCAATCTGGACACTTTAGATCAGTCGTGGGCCCTCTGTCTCACCTGGTTGCCCGTTGACGGCAACATTAACTAATGTTGCCCAGCAACATTGCTCAAAAAGTTGCCCCAATTGAATTTTTTAGTTTTTAGTTTACTCGCCAGACTGATAAATATATATATATTTTTATATAGTTTTTATATATTGGGTGAACTATCCCTTTAATGACAAGCGGCAGCATGTTTACTACAATTAGTCTGCTGTCGCTTTAAGAGCTGCACACATTTAATATACAGGCACGCATCCGTTTTTCTTTTAACTGTTTCCTATATCACTTTAACGAGCCCTTTTAGGTAGGTGTGGCTGACTCTTAACTTTTATAAAGAATATCTCTTTGAATTTGAGACTTCTCTAGATCTTCTTTATGCACCAAGAGCTTGTAACACTCCATAGAGAAAGGAAAAATTGAAATCGCATCATATGACCCCTTTAATGTAATTTATTTTATTTTATTTTTAATCCATAAATAAAAAAATTGTAGACTAATGTAAGATGTTCATCTGATCCAAGACTTCATACAACCTATAACCTAATAAAATTATTGCTGTGTACAGGATATTTCTGGCCATGAAACTGTGTACACATAGGATACAGATGAGCCTTTGTGTTTCGTGCACTGGCAAACATGTTATCCAATAGATAGCCTGGAATGTGGATTACATGTTTTTTTTTCTGCTAGAGCAATGGGATGGCAAGATTTCAAACCTTCCAGCTGAATTCCCAAATCCACACGCATTAATGCTGTTGGAGAACAACTAGTCTTCTCATGTCCTCTGCTTCCCGCTCTGGTTTTTGACTAATCGGTGTCACTGCTCGCTTTTCTATTCTTGCATTTAGCCTCTCGAAATGAGGGATGGCACGTTGTGGTTGAGAACAAAATTGTATGTGAAAACCACAGCTGAAGCATGGTCATTGTCATAGATCTGTTTTTACACTGCGGCCCAGTTCTGGCTTGAACATTCTGTTTTTCAGCTCTTTAACACATCATACACACATCTTTTACATGGCAATTAAGAAAGAATTTTAATGGCATATTTTTGGTCTCCCAAACAAAGCCATTTTCTGATTATATCCAACTGCTTAAATTTTTGTCTGAGTCTTGATGTCCATCTAAGTAAGTGAATATCTGGTTTGCCACACAGAATTGTGTCTAATCTCCAGGTTGCGTTAAGACTTCGTAATTATTTCCAGCAGTGGTAATCCCAACCACATGTGAACCATTCCAGATAAAACACCATTGAGTAGATTGAAATGTGTTCAACTTTAAAACACTGTTGTCATTTATAAGAAGAATCAGTCCGATTCAGACTTGATGATTGGAGGTGAATTTATATATCCTCATTCAAGGTATGTTCAACTGACAACACAATAAATCCACTGTCATGTTTTATGTAGCATGACCTCAGTAGGAATTTCAGTTGGAACGACGTTCCATGGGGTAGCAAATGTGGGGAAAAAAAAAAAGAAAAAAGTTGTGCTACGATTCCCCTGTATCTTGTGGCGCTTTTCCACTGCGTGGTACGACTCGGCTCGGTACGGCTCAGTTCTGCAGTTCAGTACCGCTTTAGTGTGGGCGGGATTATTCATACCGTACCGAGCCGTACCGTGCCGTACCATGCAGTGGAAAAGCGACTCTAGTTTCCCTAATCTATGGCAATTGACTTTATGCACGGTTACTTCCTGGTTTTAGATAAGCCAGCTCAGTCATTTCTGGTCAACTGTCAAAATCAACTGTGCTATAAGGGGATCAGCTCGGTTTCTCTACATAATCCATTTTTCCAATTTGAAGAAAAGTTTTGTTTGTCTAAGAGGACCAAGCGTCCACGTATACAGTTTCAGGAATGACAAACGTGAGTGTAAAAAATTAAGCGAGTGAATCTGCTAAATTGTTCTACGAGTCATTGCTATGATTGACAGTGATAAAGCAATGGACGAAACAAAACATCTGACGAGCCGATGTCAAAAATAGAGCTGTGCATGAAGTGATTCTGACTAAATTCAGAGTAACAAAACTACAGCAGCAACAAGTCTGTTGGCTGAATGTATTTAGCAGCTTCAGTTACAGTTAAAGATAAAACTTAATGTAGTTTTTAAATGTAAAAGTATTTCAAAATATTGAATGCATTATTATTTAATTGTTATACCATTAATAATTAACTTGCTATACTTTATACTTCTGTGCAGTAAAAGTGCTAAAATTATAATAGTAATTTCATAATAAATCCAAAAGCAAGATGTGGAGGAAAAAAAACTAGGGAGTTGAAATGGTAACTGAGCTAATGAGTGATCCTCTGCGGTCATCTACTGGTTATAATGGTATTTTCATGTCAATTTCATCTTAAAAGTCTTTGTTTTCCACCAAAAAGAATCTTTAAAGTGAATTTTACTGCACAGCTCTAGAGTTGAGAAATAATAAAGGCTTTAAAATATGATAAGTGTTTAAAAAATGTGTTCATGACTATGAAGGTAAGTTAATGATTATCAAGAATACCATTATGATGTCGTAGGAGATAGCATCGCTTGCTAGCTAACGTTAGCCTAAACCTTTATGATAGTGTTTAGTTGTCAGCATTTAAATGTACAATTATGTGTCTAGGTACTCTCCTGGGATTACCAGGCTCGGCATATAAAATTATATGTTGTTAACATGAAACTGTATGTTAATGCCGCTATCATTATTTACGGTGTTGCAATTATTTTGTTTCTCAGTTTCTGATGAGAATGAGGCAGGAGAGGTTTCTGTGAGGGTCTCAAGAGTCTCTACCTATATGTACCACAACATCAAATGACGCTTCACCGGAAGTTTACGAGCTGGCTTATCTTTATCTAGAAGTTTTAAACAACGGTCCGTGCACATTGTCAATTAATGCATTTCATTCTCCAAGTGTGTGTATGAATGTGTTTATCGTTACATTGGTGTGTTTGTGGTTAGCAGAAACTTAACAAAGTTAGTTTTGTAGTCCTTGTTCATCTAGATATACGTTCAACTGACCATATTAATAATATTATAATTTAATATAATATTAAATATAAATTTTTAGGGTTTTTATGAAATCCATTTTATTTAATCTTATTTAATCTTTCAGCCATTTTTTTTCTTGATTTATTCATCCAAAATTTGCCATATTCTGTAACATTACGCATTGCACATTATACTGTAAATTCCATTTTTATCACTGGAATCCATTGTTCCGTCTATGTTTTCAGAATTGCAGAATTCATTGGGCCCGATATTTTATTTATATCATAGTTTTTATTCATATTTACATTTATTTTCTAATTTTATTATTCTTTTTTTTCTGATGGATTTATTACTCATTTTATCTTTTCTCAGAGTGGATTTTTGCTTGTGTTTGGTATTCTGTTATTTATTTAGTTATTTTATTTAGTATGGAGGTGTTGTCTCCTAGCTACAATAATCTGCCTGAGCCCGTGCTGGGAAGTCACGCAGAGTGTGGGAGTGAGATATGGATCTTTATGGTAGTATAACTGACACACACTGCCGAGAGGGGTCACAGATTTCCACTGACTTTTACCGTATGCATGTCCTCCTGTCATGGGCCAGTGTTAGTGACAGGTGGCCTGGGACACTCTGGGATGATACCAGGGCTTTCATTTTCCTCACACGTGGACAGGGAACTGTCTGGTTTTGGCTCCCCAAAGGCCGCTTATCATAGCCCGTCAGAGAATGCGTCCAGGGCATGTGCCGGAGGCGGACGGCAGCTGCCTTTGATTGCAAAGAGGACACCTCACTCCCACCATCCAGCAGCTGTGTGCTTTCCCGCCACACTCATTCTTGACCCTGTAAACACGCTGTTTCTCTCTCTGTTTGCCAGACTCACATATCCAGACTTCCTCCTGGGGCAGTGGCCGGACAGTCACTGGCAATCGAGGGTGGAGTTTGTCGACTCGGGACCATGAGTGACTGAAGCGGTGTGAAATCACCCTCTATTTCTGCAGCAATATGCCAGCGCCGGGATCTTTATAGCAAGAGCTTGACGTTGTGTCATTGTAGGACACAATCATAAAGGGACAAAAAGGTTGCAATATGTCTCACAATAATTCCCAATATTATTATTTATTCAATCCTTTTATTAAACCTACCATACAACTTTCGAACAATATGCACCGTCCTTATCATTGTAAATAAGCTAAGGGTTGTTGAAACAGGGTGGCCATTGATGTAAACGGCTTATTGTTTTTTTGCTTACTTGACATTTAATATTACTTTTACTATTATGTTTTTATATATAGCCAAGATGCTTGTTTTGTGCAAAAGTTCAGTTTAGTGACTTTTAGTGAAAAAAGGTCTGATTTGACACGTGTGCTTGCCGTGAGTCTGGTTGAGTTGCAAATGCATACACAGTGTGGCATACAGGATAAAATCCTTTTTGAAATTACAATAATTGCCTATTCATTTTACTTTTTTAAAGCTATGTATAGCATTTCAGTTGGATCAATAGTTCACCCAAGAATTTTTTTTTTCTATTACACATTCTCATGTCATTCCAAACCTGAACAATTAACATTCTTCAGTGGAGCACAGAAGCTTGGTTTCATTAAGAGTATCCTGGCTATTCTTTTTCATATAATACGTTTTAAAACAATTAAAAAGAACCAAAGTATCAGAAAAATATCCACATGACTTGTGCACTATATTCTTCAGAACTCATACTGAACTTGCGTACAGGTCACATGACACTTTGGTGCTTTTACGTCCTTTTTATAGTTTGAAATATTCAGTCCCCATTTATTGAAATTGCATGGAAAAGTGATCTTTCTGTTCTTTTGTTTTTCATGAAAATATTTGTGCAGATTTGAATGACGTGAGGGTGAGTAATTTTTAGGTGAACTATACCTTTAAAGAGCGAGATTATTCTCAAATCTAATGATATGCACTGTTGAAAATAAGTTAATTTGTGGATGTTACACTTTCACCACAAAGTTGATGGCAGTAGGATTTCAGAAAGATCTTCTGATGAGACTAGATGCACACGCACTTTTGCCCAGCGTCTTACAAAATAAGTGCACTACTTTGACAAACTGCACTGCTCGTGAGTGTACTAAGAACATGGTGCATGTTGTGTAATCCAAGTATGCATTTCTTTTGCGTACTGTGAGTTCACTTGACCTTGTTTGAAAGCTGCATCATGCACTTCTGTGGTTGAGCTGTATTAACAGGTGAACAGCTTTGTGTGTTTTCTAATGCCATGTGTAGTGCTCAGGAGATGAGTTCCCAAAAAGCAAGCTAAAAATGACTGTTAGTCCATCTTTGAAAATGCAAAATATATTTTAGGTCTGTATTTTATAATGGCAGAAAAATGAGAGGATCTCGAAAATGTATTTATAAATTACACTGAATCAAATATGTTGAAGGTTATTACATTGATGAGGGTTTTTTGGCAGAGCTAATATTTAAAGTTCTGTAGTTTAGATTTTTTCTTTAGTTAAAACTCTTGCAGTACTATAAAAATGTAATATATATATGCTTATTTTAGTTTTACATGACCGTGCATTTATTAATGAAATGTCTGTAAACGTTTCCAACAGCAGATTGTACTAACCTCTTGCTATTGTAATGCTCAATAAAACTGAGAAATGGTGTGCAGTTGTAAGTGTTGATTTATTCATTCATTGACACTTAGTACATATAGAAGTCGTGCACAACGAAATTAATAGCACTAATATTTTAACAATAATGTACAGTCTCATGATTGATGGCTCAAGTCAAATCAATGGCATGAAAAATACTTTTTTTATTATAACATATTAAAAAGGGGCTCCCTATTATTGTCATGATGAGATTCATCGCATATCCAGCCTTTTCTTGCAATTTCAGTAAATAAACACAAACATAAGATACATTTACCTTGAACTCATATTTTGTGGGAGTGTCAGCATTTTGAAAAATCATGTTAATGTAATTGGCTCTTCAGGACTTGTGGGGGCAACAGAGAACCTAAGACAGCCGTATTTGTAATGAAGACTAGCAAATCCAGAGTAAAAAACAAAACTTTTATTACTAGATATACATTTAAGATTGTCTTCTGGGAAAACAGTTCAAAAATATAGATGATTCATCCTGCACTACAGATTTTTGTCCAATCAAATGTTCTCTAAAATGACAACTTTCCTCCCTCTAACACCATCTGCTGCGGAGTAGAAATTGCAAATTACGGTCCACGACTGTGATGTAACTAAACCCTATTCAAAGCCTTTGCTCTGCAGGAGATTCTCGGCTGCATTATACAGCACATTAAGTGGTGTGTTCACCCCTGTTTTGGCACAGATAAGTGCTGTGTTCCACCCCTTGGTGCTCCAGCCTAAAAGAGCAATTTCCTACAGCTTGCACAGTCGAGAGTGTGTTTTGGGATGTCTTTCTGGCCGTGTGCTTCTGGGTGCGATAGTTTCCTTACCTCTGATGACGGACATGATCGCTGTCTCACATGTCTGGGGCACAAGCATGCTGAGACTGCTTTTGTGGATGGTTCATGCCCGCACTGCGAATGCATGTCCATGGCTACTCTGAGGTCGTGGCTCGCATTCATTATGAGGCTTCACTCGAACTCTACCCAGTCCAGTTCCTCTGGTCATAAAAATCTCGGGGCTGCATTGGTTAGGGACAAGGGAGACCTGAGGATTACGGAAGTCCTGCTCCTCACAGCTAGCATTTTCAATCAACAAATCGTGCCTTGAGTTTGGGCTGTCTGATTCTCACATTATGTTGATGTTTTGTTGAATGCACCCAGAGCTTGAGACGCTCTGAGCAGCTCTTTGTTTGTTTTGGAGGACAGCAGAAGGGCAAGGCTCTCTCCAAGCAGAGGTTGGCCCACTGGCTAGTGGATGCCATCGCCTTGGTGTACCAGGCACAAGGTGAGCCGTACCCCCTGGGGATGAGAGCTCATTCCACTCGGACTGTTGCCTCCTCCTGGGCGTTGGCGCACGGCACCTCTCTAGCAGATATCTGCAGAGCTGCGGGCTGGTCGACACCTAATAGCTTTGCAAGGTTCTATAATCTCTGGGTAGAGCCTGTTTCCACCCGTGTGTTGGGTACAAACAGGTAATTTGCCGGGAGGTCTGGTTTCTAGGTGTCTCGCTTGCGGCGCCATTCCTCTGGCTAGGATACGTGCGCTTATCTTCTTCCAGTAAGTTCCCCATCTGGTGAATCCTGGTCGATTTCTCCAACACCCTGTGGCATTTAGACTTAGCGGAGGAGTCTGTTGCCGCATTCAGTATTTGGGTTGCATGCAATAAGTGAGATTCCCTTGGTAATCCCGTATGTTTTTCCACTGTACGGTTTCCCTTGGTAAACCTGTGTCCTCCCTAACAATTTGTTTACTGTCAGTTCCTGTTGTCTTCCCCTAAATTGGGGTCATGACAGTTTGTTTGACTGTGCTGCGACCACTCTTACTATTCACATTCCTATTTGGATGTGTCTCCGCACCCTAATGGTTGCTGAAATACAGTATTTTGAGAATGTCAGAACAACCGTTTTTTCGGCTTCCCTGGTAAGCACGTATACTTGTTATGAGATCTGTTTTATGAGGCGTTGGGTAGGTTGCGGATTGAGGTGCATCTGTCCTGACCAGTGTTGGGGGTAACGCATTACAAGTAACGCGAGTATTAGTTAATTTTTTATGGAGTAACACAATATTGTAACGCATTACTTTTAAAAGTAACTTTCCCCAACACTGGTCCTGACACACTTGCTTGTCGGCACCTGCACCTTCAATTTTCGTAACAGTTCTGGTTGTGCTGCTTTCCATAGGGGCCCCTAACGTCAGTGTCGATGTAATATTGAACATGACTGACTGAAAGGGAAAATTTCGATTACGTATGTAAACCCTCGTTTCCTTAAGGAGGGAAGGGAGACGTTATGTCCCTCATGCCACAACCGTGAACTGCACTGAATGCCGGTATGCTTCCTCGGCTCCTTAGCACAAACCTGAATGAGTGGATGCACGCCGCCATATTATATACCCGTATGTACGGGGAGTGGTTGGCATGCAAATTCCACTCGCCAATTATCATTGGCCGTTTCTCGTAATGCTCAGAGGTGATTGGGGCTCCCAAGTGAAACCCCTAATGTCAGTGTCAATGTAATGTCTTCGTTCCCTCCTTCAGGGAACGAGGGTTACATACGTAACCAAGACATTACTTTACAATGCTCTTGAAGTGCACTTAAAAGGCAACTTAGTGGAAAAAAATGGAATTATCTTTGCCTTCACACTGTCTCTGGCATTAGAAGTGGACTCAGATCTCTTTTTGATCCACTTTTATTAACTGTGAGGTTTGGATGCTGAACCAATTGAATGCTTCCTGTGTTAGAGAGAGTGTAATTTTATCTTTGGCCAAATGTATTGTCTACAGTTTGTTGTCTTATCTTTATCCGGAGGCCTACTGTTTTCACTCTAGTCTCCATCCCCAATGAGCCCTTGTATTCCAGAAAAAAACACTGCTCTATTTGTAGCATCATATTTATTTTTGAGGCTCTAACAGACAGCAAAAGTTTATCCTTGTCTTCCCCCTGCCTTTTCTACTCCCCACATATCTTATAATCTTAACTGTGGGCTGCCGAAGATTTACAGTCTAGATATAAATTACACACTCGACAATAACCCAGAGGTGAAAATAGAAGCTCTCTAGAGAATCTGGAAAATGAAAGAACTCACAAATGTTTGTTTGATGTCAAATCGCCGATTGATGGTGCTTTATAGTCAGTGTTTGAAAGATTTGGGTTAATAGCACTTTCCTTTAAAATCCATAAGTAACAATCCTGTGGCTATCCCATATGTTGTCCTGAAATTTGTCCTACAGGGTGTCTGGATTTATAGTCATCCCATTGTGTTTGTGGTCAGTGCCACATTGACGTTTGGTTTCTTTCACCGTCTTTAAGAGTGTTTAAAGTTTTTTTCATTGTGTGGTTGACACAGAGTCCTTTGTGCTGTTTCCAGTAATGACAATAATTACATTAGTCCTTTATAGAGAGTTTGGTACAACACTGACGTCTTTTACAACACTATTGTAGGATGAGATAAATCTGTTTGCTTAATAAAACTGCTTGTCAATCAAGTATGCAAATGTAGATTGCGCACTACAATCACAGAGTCCCCACATGAATAA